GATGATGGTCAACACATACCCGGGCATAGGGGAGATGATGGTCAACATACCTGGGGCATAAGGGGAGATAAACACATACCCGGGCATAGGGGAGATGATGGTCAACACATACCCGGGCATAGGGGAGATGATGGTCAACACATACCTGGGGCATAAGGGGAGATAAACACATACCCGGGCATAGGGGAGATGATGGTCAACACATACCTGGGGCATAAGGGGAGATAATGGGCACACATACCTGGGGCATAAGGGGAGATAAACACATACCTGGGTATAAAGGGAGATGATGGTCAACACATACCCGGGCATAAGGGGAGATAAACACATACCCGGGCATAAGGGGAGATAAACACATACCTGGGTTTAAAGGGAGATGATGGTCAACACATACCCGGGCATAAGGGGAGATAAACACATACCCGGGCATAAGGGGAGATAAACACATACCCGGGCATAAGGGGAGGTAAACACATACTTGGGTATAGGGGAGATGATGGTCAACACATACCTGGGGCATAAGGGGAGATAATGGACAACACATACCTGGGCATAAGGGGAGATGATAGTCAACACTCACCTTTGGCATATAGGGAGGTTATTGTAAATATACACCAGTGGCATAAGGGGAGATAAAAACAATGTATGGGTTCTACATGTTAATGTATGCAATATCAGGTGGATGAAACGGACAAGAGACTTAAAAGTAAACAAAACCATCTCAGTGCGCTACAAAGTTATAAAGACAAAGAATATCCCGTGAATGCCATGATTATTATTAATAATTGTTAATCTTCATGTAGCTTTGGAAGCATTGAAAAAAATTCTAATCAGGAAGATCTACAAGAGTTAGAGCACATTATCATCACCGAGCTAGGAAAGTATGAAAAAGATATTGTACGCCGTTGCAATGAAATTGCACGGAGAGTCACAAATGAATCTATAGCCTTGATGCATATCAGCCTTAAAGATATGGCTTTGCAAAATTTGGTAATGAAAAAGGAAATAGAGTTTCATAAAAAAGAACAAGAAGAACTGAGGGCTACCAATCAACAACTACAAGAAGAAGTTGAGAGGCTGCTCAAAAATCCATTATCAAATCTCAGGCTTCCTGAATTCTTCCCAAAAACTTCAAAGTGTACCCCAGATATGGATGTGGTTTTGGATATCCCAAAACAAGAATGGTTGCCCATTTAATGTGCATGTTACTTGTGAGGTTTGTTGATGTACACTTTATTGCTGGTTTTGTGTAACTTGCTCCAGAAAATTTTGAAATTTCATCAGAACTAAATGCAGAAACAATTTGTCTATCAGATTAACCTCATCAATTGATTACGAGACTACTTATGAATATTAATTTTACTTGTTAATTCCACATCTCCAGTTTTTATTGACAACTGAATGGGCATTTTGAAATTATTTTAAAAAAATAATGATAGTTAATAAAAGAAGATTTAAAAAAAAAAAACCAAAAAAAAAAACCACCCAAACTCTAACAAGTTATAATTCAGAGAAATGGTAAGAAAAACATGCTTCGAAATCTGTTAATAACCTTTACATTCAAATCTCGTGGAGTTAAAAATAAACAAAATAAACCCAATACATAGGGTAAAACTTTTATTTAAAGTTTACAAAAATCCTTGACAATTTCTTTAGGTTCTGTTCAGTTTTGAACCTGTTGTAAAGTATCCAAGAAGATACGTCATAAACTGGGTCGGTTTCTTTCAGAAAAGCAGTTCACGATGAGGTGCGTATGAACGGTAACCAAACAGGAAGTGTTTAATGCGGGTGTGTTACTTTTATAAAGGGAGGTAAACTAGAGTAAAGTTAATTCTATGGGAAATAATTCATCATTTATTTTACTTACACATACTCACGCACAAATATACACCCATATATATTGATATATGTATATATCAGTGTTTCTTCCAGACTCTTTTCTCCGGGGGGAAGGGGCACTTGAAATTTTCGGGGGGGGGGGGGGGGCGGTAGGCTTTCTTCGGGGGGGGGGGGGCGGACACTGTTAAAAGTATATATTTTCTATATAAATTATATAACGTTCGGGGGGGGGGGGCGGTAAAATTTTTTCGGTGGGGGGGGGGGGGGGCTCCCCCCGAAGAGATGCCTGGAAGAAACTCTGGTATATATGGTATATATATATATATATATTTCATATATATAAAAATAAAAAAATAATATATGAACAAATATTAAAATTTATGAATAACATATTTAAGGTTCTAGTTTTTACAAACTTCATAACATGGCATTCATTCAGCAACCCTTTAGCAATGTTAATGTATAATACTTGGTCGATAATGAATCAAATTGATCGAATGCTGCAAATAGTCAAATTGGGCATAATGGATTCGCTATTGATTTATTGAGTTATTGACTAGGTCACGTGACGAAATAAAATTGGAACCACCAACACGGAGAGTTCCGAACACGTTACGCTACTTAGTTTTGCCGCTCTTTGCAAGTGTCACTCTCTTTCATAAGGCCAGTGTAAAAACTAGTCAACTACACTGGGCCATTGGTCTAAAATGAGGTCACAGAATGATACGAAAAAAAAGGTTTTGGATATTAGCAGGGCAGGGGTTATAATTTCATGGTGAAGGGGAAATAACAAGTAATAGTTTTTAATTAATCAGTTCGATTTGTGGAATCACCAAGGACAGTGTTTCTTCCGGACTCTTTTCTCCTTGGCTAAAATGTACAGGGGGGTGGGGGGAGGGGGGGCTGGGGAGGGGGGGCGGACACTGGTAAAAGTATATATTTTCTATACAAATCCTATTTCTATATAAATCCTATTTGTATATAAATCCTATTTCGTTCGAAGAGTTGCCTGGACGAAACACAGATCAAGGATTAAACTGAACAATATCGATTTTAAAACAATCCAGCAAGACTATACAATTTGATGCATGGAAAACAAGGTCAGTTTAAGAAAAAGAAATTCAAACATTCAAATCTATCAAACAATCTAGCTGGAGACTTCAAGTGAGCGAATGATTTGAGTTCCCACTGAAACAAATATAACTAAAACTATAACAAAACTATAAAATTTGATGAGAACAAGGTTAATTTATGAAAAAAAAAATCAAACATTAAAACTAACAAACAAGCTAGCTGGAGATTTCAAGTGAGCGAATGACTTGAGTTCCCACCAGTTTCTTCCAGGCATCTCTTCGGGGGGGGGGGGGGGGGGGGGCGGGCTGTCTCTCTCCCCCCCCCCCCCTCCCCCTGAGAAAAAAGTCTGGAAGAAACACTGGTTCCCACCGAACTAACAAACTCCCCCTTTTGGATTCTGATTAGCTAGGCAGGATGAAGAATTAAGGATGTCTAACGCCCATTGCGTTAGGTTTTTTTTTTTTTAAAACAAGAGTGACAATTTGGCTAAAAAATAATAAACTCCGGGGTTGGCAAGGGGTTGGCAAAAGAGTGGTTCATCATTTGGCCATATTGTCTGTAAATGTAAACTTACACGGAGGAGGTAACGATAGTGATATTTTTTATGACATACCAAATTATGGTACATTCTGGAACTCCGTGTGACCTTGAATGACCTTGATGCACTAGAAGACTGGTCTCACAGCAATGACTGGGAGCAAGAAGAGACCAGCTTGAATTATTATACAGAGTAACGGCTTTTTCACTTAAAAATAAAGTGAACGTTGAATGTGGTCTCTCTTTGTGTACTTTTGATGATGTGGTGATCATTATATTAAAACACACACACAGATATATGTATATATTTAAATATATGTATATAATATATATATATATATATATATATATATATATATATATATGCATGTATATATATATATGTATATATATATTTATTTATATTTGTACGTGTATAGGATATACAAATATATAGGATATATATATATATATATATATATATATATATATATATATATATATATATATATATATATATATATATATATATATATTCCCTACGTCACCAGTCACCATAACAAAGAATTGCAACAGTCGAACAATTGAGGCTTAGGTTGACATTTAGCCAACCATGACGAGGTAAATAATATAAGAATAAAGTGGGGAAATGTTTTGACAGACTTATTTAAAAATCTGACTGGGATACAGCTTGTTTAGGTGAATATAATATTTTAGACAAAAAAAATCATTATTTTGTTTTTATTGTCAATCTTATTTTAAAATGTGATTTAGTTTAATTAAATTCTAATTTATGTATGTATCAAAACATTTGTTGTGTATTTAATGTCACATCTATTCTCCGGCGCAAACGTGTGTAACTAAATTCAGACGAACTAAGAGAACTTAATAAATCAGTTTATCTTTCATTTTCACAACGTTTACGTTTAAACAATACTCTTGTTTTTTTTTTAATAGAAAAAAATTGCAGTGAAATTATTAACTCTGTTTAATATAAATCCAGTTTTTTTCGTTGAAATGTTGACTTTAAAAAAAATTATAACCGAACGTTGTTACCATTTGAAGAAATATCAGCACTCATAGAAACTATTATTTCAATGAACTATGTTGGTTTCGTACATTTTCATAAATGATTTTTTTTTCATCTTTTTTGTTGATTAATATTAATAGATATTAATATTAATTATGAGTTTTATAATGTCTTTAACAATTTTTTTTTTTTTAAAAATACGAAGTTTTGTTAACCACACTGAGATTCCTTTGTGAAACTAATATTTTACTGTTCAAATTTAATTTTTCTACTGCGTTTTAAAACGTCTGTCCTTTCAACATTGTTTAACATATTCTTGAATAATACTGTTACGATATATCATAAAAGTAGAGTCATTTCGTTAGTGCATGGTTGTACTTGAGTTTTTGACGTGTTTCTATAAATATCCGTAAAAATTATAACATCAAACTGTTTTTTAAAAATAGTATATTAGTAAGTCTTTGAAGCTATTTATAGCATAAAGACATTGGGTAATTCGCCAATTTGGATCAATAAAAAAAATCAATATCTCGATACAGTTCAAGAATCGCTGCTAGCTATAGGGCTGGTGATGTGTTTGTTCCGTATGTGTGCAGCACATATTTTGTTTATGTGTGTAGTTAAACGCTCTTACAACACATTGGTATTCGCTAGTGGTGTTTAACGTTTTTAGAACTAAAGCTTAGACCAGGAATTTCAACAGAGATAATTAATTTGATCATTGACATCGTTATCTAGACAGGTCAGTAGACTTATAACAGACGAAGTCTTTAACATTCGGTGTATTTAAAGAAAAAGTAAAGTTTCTTCTTGTAATTGATGTTTTAATTATTAATCTAAACAACGTGGTTTTTTTTTTAATTTTATTTTAAAAAGCTGAAACGTATTGTGGAAGTTATGAAGAAGATGATATGATGTTATAATAATTTAACGGCTAGTGTTTTTATGATTCTGATTAAAACTATTTCAGTTCACGTAGGGCGTTATGTTGTCTTTTTTTTTTGAGAAAGCGGTTTGTTTGTGTGTGAATGTGTGTGTGTGTGTGTGTGAATGTGTGTGTGTGGGGGGGGGGGGTGTAATATATGTTTGTTATTGATTTGTTTTTAAGGGGTGATTTAGGGAAAAAAAAACTTTTTTTCAAAAGTTTGATTAACAAAATAATTTTTTTATTTATTTCAACATTTTCAGAGATATTTTCGTAGCTGATACCTACACGGAGCCTACACCAAAAACAAAGAAAAGACCCAACAACTACAACGGGAAGTTGGGGCAGTAAAGAAATGCCAAAAGTCAACCCCAGTGTCAATGTTACAGGTAATGTTTAAATTTTGAATGTTTAAATAAAATGGCGTCATTCTTGGGGAATAGCAGGTGCGCCCCCCCCCCATCTCCATTTTCTAGATGTAAAATAAGCTTCTAACTTTTTCATACATATTTTAGTTGTCTTAAAAACTGTCCCCTTGTGAGATATGTTATGTGTTAAAATAACTTTGTTTTACTGTATATATTTACTGCTGAAAATATGTGATTCGAATCGTGTGTTTTCTTGTTGTCTCTAATCACATTTTCAGTGTCTCATCAGAGATTTAATCATTGTTTAAGACAGAGATATTTCTTTCACATCCTTGCTTTAGCCTCACCATTCCATTCATCTTTACGGGTTAACGATGACTTAGTAAAATATTCCAATAATAACTAAAATCATCATCACGTTTTCCGTTCGTGCCCAAGACACATGGAGCAGACGAAGTAGAGCTAATCTGTTTCTGGGACCTAGGCATATGAAGGGAATAGTGTGGCCAGCACTATGACAAGCCTCTCTTACTTTCCCCTAACGTGAGTTAGGTACCCATCAGAGCTGGGTTGACTCAGAGACGGTATATGACTTGAACCCGGATTCGAATTTTGGGTTAAAAGTCTAGCTCTCTACCCCTAGGCGACGCCATCCCCAACAACTAAAATACTCTTATTAAAAATGTTGACTGAAAGATGTAGATGATTGTAGGTTTTATTGACTGTAATGTTCTAATAACTTCATGTTATGACAACCAATAAAAGTTACAGATGACTGAAAGTTAATGATGACTGAAAGCTTTAAATGACTGAAAAATGATTGAAAGTCTCCAAAACCTCTCCAGGGCCACCCGAATGGACCCGGAACCTGATATTCAAAGAGGAACTGAACGGCGGTTTCACGGACCTGTCTGACGGGTTCTCGGCCGTCACCAAGTACCACATCGTCAGGGAACGGAAGGGCGCGACCGTCACGGATGGGCTCGGTGGTCGACGGGGATGACGGCGGGGAAACACGTTTTCCAGGTGAGTAGGGTTAGAACTTGGTGGAGTAGAAATACTAGCAGCTACACGTCTAAGGAATAGGGTCTCTGTCAGACCCCCCCCCCCCCGCCTCCCGAAGAAAGTCTACCGCCCTCCAACAAAATGGAATTTATATAGAAAACATACTTTTACCATTGTCCCCCCCCCCCCACCGGAAAATGTAGTCCGCCCACCCCCCACCCCCTACTTGAAAAGAAAATATCAATGACCCCCTCCCGAAGAAAAAAGTCTGGATGAAACTTTTTTCTCCGGGGGGGGGGGGGCACTAGAAATTTTCGGGGGGGGGGGGGGCGGTACACTTTCTTCGGGGGGGGGGGGCGGACACTGTTAAAAGTATATATTTTCTATATAAATTATATACATTTCATTTTGTTTGGGGGGGGGGGGCGGGTAAAAAAATTTCGGGGGGGGGGGCTTTGCCCCCCCCCCCCCCCCCCACCCCGAAGAGATGCCTGGAAGAAACTCTGCCTCCCCCGTTCATACGCATCCATAAAAGTCGATTTTTTCGGACACCCGTCTCCCCCCTCCGCGTGGTCGTCATAAATAGATGATCCCCTACTGGTGTAGTTACACTTTCAGGAATAAAACATGATGGAATAGCAATACTAGCAGCTACACGTCTAAAGAATAGGATCTGGTGTTTTTAAATTGATATATATTATTAGCTACTGGCGTAGTTAACTTCTATAGAGTAGAAATACTAGCAGCTACACGTCTAAAGAATAGGATCTGGTGTTTTTAAATTGATATATATTAGTAGCTACTGGCGTAGTTACACCTTGAGGATTAGAACTTGATGGAGTAGAAATACTAGGAGCTATAAGTCTAAAAAATAGGAAACGATTATTTTAAGTAGCTTGGCAATATTAGTTACTGGCGTAGTTATACATTCAGTACTCATTACTTCATTATCTTTTACTCAGTTATTTTGAACAGTATGGCCTTTGGTAGCCACGTTCAACCCCCCCCCCTCCCCTTACGATATTGTCGTAAGGCTATATTACATCTGAGCCGAATTGTGGTTTAAGGCGGTGGATACTATCTGAATGTTAAACACGACACCAATTCAATTTAAGAGCATGCAGTTTCATCCTATATTGCTTCAAAAAAAAAAAACAATTTATAATTATTTCACAACTGACCACACCTGACCACAACTGACCACAACTGACCACACCTGACCACAACCGACCACACCTGACCACACCTGACCACAACTGACCACACCTGACCACACCTGACCACAACTGACCACAACTGACCACAACCGACCACACCTGACCACACCTGACCACACCTGACCACACCTGACCACACCTGACCACACCTGACCACAACTGACCACAACCGACCACACCTGACCACACCTGACCACAACCGACCACACCTGACCACACCTGACCACAACTGACCACAACTGACCACAACCGACCACACCTGACCACACCTGACCACACCTGACCACAACTGACCACAACTGACCACAACTGACCACAACTGACCACAACTGACCACAACTGACCACAACTGACCACTAGTAATTGGTTGTTGACTGACCCCCAGGTGTACTGGCCCGACGAGGGTAACCGGGGCACCTGCTCGTGTGTGGGGGTGGGGTCAGCTGACGTCCTGCTCAAGCAGCCGGGCCGGGTCAGTCTGGTGGGTGACCACAGCCTGTCCTGGGGCCTGGACCTGACCAAGCGGCGCTCCATCCACTTCAAGAAGATGGAGCAGCGCCTTCACGCCCGCGTGCCGGAAATGTAAGTTGGGTGTGGGTATGTGTGATGTGTGTCAGTGTGTCTGCAGAACTCCATTCCATTAAAGTAAGTTGGCTGTGTGTGTGGGTCCCATGTGTGTGTATGTGTCTGCAGACCCCCATTCCATAAAAGTAAGTTGTGTGTGTGTGGGTCCCATGTGTGTGTGTGTGGGTCCCATGTGTGTGTGTGTGGGTCCCATGTGTGTGTGTGTGCCTGCAGACCTCCATTCCATTAAAGTAAGGTGTGTGTGTGTGGGGGGGGGGGGGGGGTCCCATGTGTGTGTGTGTGTGTGTGCCTGCACACTCCCATTCCATTAAAGTAAGTTGGCTCTGTGTGTGTGTGTGTGTCCCATGTGTGTGTGTGTCTGCAGACCCCCATTCCATAAAAGTAAGTTGGGCGTGTGTATGTGCCATGTGTGTGTGTGTGTCATGTGTGTATGTGTGCATACAGCAAAGTTTCTTCACCTCCCCCACCCACCCCTCCCCCCCCCCCTAATCTCTGTAATCTTCCCCCCAGTTTCTACATGTACGTAGACCTGGACGGAGGGAACATCGGCTTTGGGGATGACGTTGTCCTACACCAGAAGTCCGCGGAGTTCTACGGCCAAATACTGACCAACATCCCAAAGAACAGCTCGCGACCTCTGTACGTCATGGTCAGTTCCTGCAACCCAGGAGAGCAGATTCATGTCTACTATAGGGGCACCGCAGGTCAGTTCAAGGTCAACGTTATGGTATTAAATGTTACAAGGGCATCAATGGTAAGTTCAAGGTCAACGTTATATGGTATTAAATGTTACAAGGGCATCGATGGTAAGTTCAAGGTCAACGTTATGATATGGTATTAAATATATTACAAGGGCATTGATGGTAAGTTCAAGGTCAACATTATGTTTTTATATTAAATATGTTACAAGGGCATCAATGGTAAGTTCAAGGTCAACATTATTATTTGATATTAAATATGTTACAAGAGCACCGCTTGTAAGTTTGTGGTTAGCATATGTGTTATGCTCGCTCACTTGTTTCAATGAGTAAAAACTGTTGTTTCATATGTTGTTGTTTTTATGTCCTACATGAAACTGACTATGAAACAGTAACAAATCCACAACGGTTAATGTCTGTTGTGTGAATGTTGAGAAGATAAAACAATCAGTTTACATTTACAAAACTTTCAGTTCCCTCTGGTGGGTTTGACCTCTGCTACCCAATCCAGCCAATGGAGTTTCAGCAGTTTCAACATAAACAACAACAACAACAACAGATTCCGTACATTGGCTTCAACCCAGGTAAATATAGCACTGTTATGGCTTGTTTTACCTATTTGATGGAGACCCTTTAGACATATTTAACATAGTGGAAATTATGGGACGGCGTGGTTTAGAAATAGAGCGATAGACTGCTAACTCGAAAGTCTCGAGCTCGAATCCAGGTTCAAGTCAGTAGACCGTCCCTGAGTCCACCCAGCTCTGATGGGTACCTAACTCACGTTAGAGAGAGTAAAGGCAGCTTGGTACAGTGCCGACCAGATAATCCCTTCTAAAGCCGAGGTCAAGAAATATATGAAATCTACTTCATCTGCCCTATGGATCGCAATGTCTAAAGCGGAATCTTCAATTTACTTTTCAACATAACCGAAATGCATAAGAAAATCTATTCTTTTTGTATTTCTGAGCGAGGCGGTGAAATAGTTAAAATTCATCAGCTTTTAAAAATACATTTCACAAAATGTTAAAAAACATTCCCAAGTGTGTGATGAATATCATTAATAAAATTGTGTATAATATTGTAAATAAAATTGTGTATAATATTGTTAATACAGTTGTGTATAATATTATTAATAAAATTGTGTATAATATTGTTAATAAAATTGTGTTTAAAATTGTTAATAAAATTGTGTATAAAATTGTTAGTAAAATTGTGAATAATATTGTTAATAAAATTGTGTATAATATGTGTATTTCCAGCGCCGATGGCACCTGTAGCTTCCATGGCACCAATGGCAACCATGGCACCACTGACGCCCCCGCCCCCCTACGAGGAGTCAATAGTTCCAGGCCCACCCATTTACTTTGACCCTGTGATTGCTAAAGAAGAGAAAATTCCTCGAAAGAAATTTTGATGGAGCCTTGTCCTGGTACCGATGTTATATCGGTTCACTCAACACTGTTTTCTTATTTTTTTGGGTCACATTTTCATATAGATGAAGGTCATAATGCCAAAACGTCGTTGTTGTTTTTTTTTAAATTTTAAATTTTAACATAGTTCTTTGTGAATGTAATAGCTTTAATTATAACATACTTTATATACTTATTTTATGCGCACTTAAAAGAAAAGCAATGCACCTTTTTAAATATATTATTATGATTATTATGTAACCTAGTCCTCTTTTGAGCCAAGGTTTTGGGGATGTAGGGGAAGTAACTATGTGATTCAATTCTGGGTGTTACTATTGGATAAATTGTTCGTATTAAAATCCAGTTGACCTAAAATAGATTTTAAAATTAACGAATTAAGTATGAAAGTCCATTTGAATAAAATTGCGTAGTTCATTAAAATCTATGTATTAATAAGTAGTTTAAGTGCAAAGCTTTTTTATGCGGTAGCTGATCAAGCATTCATTAACATTTTTTCTCCTTTTTTTTCGGGCATTTCACCTAGTGAACATTATCTGTAGAAAATATGTCATGACAAATATAATTATTTCATCTAGTGTACATTCTCTGTTGAAAATATGTCATGACAAATATAATTCTATTTACACATCGTGTATTTTAATAAAATAAATAGACCATGCTTTCTTTAGTTTGTTTGTTTGACATACATTTATTGTGTGTGCATAAATCTTATGTTTTCCTTTAAAAATATAGTCTCTATAATACTAAAATATTACATAAACAAACAATGGTCCTATTTCCGAAAGGGTGGGGTGAGCGAGGTTCTGCTGCGTGATATTGATAATAGATGGTAAATAAATTACGACTGTCTACAAATTATTCATAATGTAGCGTACAAGTACGTCGGAATGAGTAACTTCACATATGGCTAAGATATTTGTTGATATATTTGGGGTGTGTGGGGAGGGGGGGATAGAAATATCAGATTTTATGAGCATCCACTTTTCCGAAATAATATTTTTATAAATATGGTTCAAAGTACGTTTGGACACTGGCACTGTTGTGACTCTGGTACTGTTGGAACTCTGGCACTGTTGTGACTCTGGCACTGTTATGACTCTGGCCTTGTTGTGACTCTGACACTGTTATGACTCTGGCCTTGTTGGGACTCTGGCACCCACTCTGGTCGAGTTTAAGCGCCCCCACCCTGAGGTTTCTTTCAGATATTTGACTACGGGAGGCAGTGGACATGCCTCAACCACAGATCTTGACCCAACCATGGACTTCCATAATTAGAGAAAAAAAAATTAAAAACACATATTTTTGTGTTTGTTAAATTTTAGTCTATAGGTTATCAATTTCATAAACTGAAAAGTAGATAATTACCAACTTAATTAATTAATTTGTTGAATGAGCAGCACACGAGGCGCCTTATCAGTAAATTAACCGACCCAACGAAGCTAATTAATGATGCCAACAGGAGCAAGAGAAATGACTTATTTCTGTCTACATGACGGTCGGAACATTAAACTTTATAATTAATAGTTGCAGGGGCTCGCTATCTTGTATAACACAAAAATTGGGCATTTGACCCACCCACTACCTGATATTGTTATATAACATTTGAGTCAATCATCCCAGTTATTATTATGCATTATATTATAGCCTATTCATGAAATCATTCCATAGCAGAATTTTAACTAAAGAAATAATACATCACATCAGATGTTGTGCTATTTGATATTTACCTAAATTAACACAATGTAAAAGAATGTTAATAGCCTCTACCTATTAGTTAACCGTGCACCATTCCAAAATAATAAAAATATTTGATCAAACCTAAATTGTTGGGAGTAACTGTGGCCTTACAGGATAGTAAACATAATCACAGTTGCTTCCCTTGCAAGATCTAATTTAAAAAAAAAAATGTCAATGTCAACCATTTGTTGGAGCTTATAATTTAATTCATTTATCACATATACTTTATAATAGATTTCTCTGGTTCTATTTTTAAATATTTTTTTTCAAATTTTGCAACAATAGTCTCATTTTAGCTTACTCCGTTTTAATAAAAGTTGACGATTTTGGCATAAATGTGTGACAATAATATCGGTCGTCAAAAAGATTGATTAAAATTAACATTTTGGGGTGGTCTGATGTTGAAAATGTTCTCCGAGTAAGACTGACAAAAGATGTATTTATTTTACCATGTCATAAAAAAATCTTAGCATTTGTTTTTAGATAGCCTAGAATCTTTGTTTCGTCAAAAATCTTAGCCGGCAGGTGGTTTGTCGCACAGCGGCATTGATTCGCATCCCTGTGCTCTTGCATGCATTATTTTTTAAATACACTCAATAGTGACGTCACAGATTTTAAATTCAATATGGCGGATTACTACTCTTTACACGGCAAGTAAATAGAAATAATTGTATTTTAGCAATGATACTTGCTTCCTAAGTTAATAGCAGCCTAAATTGTAACCTTCAATTGACTGTCACTGTATTTGTCATTAAATAATGAGGAATCATATTCAAAATAAAATATTCCACTGTGCTAACTCCCTTCATTTTTATGCACAAGAACTCACAGTCACAAACACAAGAAGAAGAAAAATGGAAATCCACAGAATTTATAAAATTCCCAGTCTCCTTTATTTAATGTTTTGGGCCTAGTCAATAACAAATATTAGAATTAGCATTTATTCAATAGTAGGCCTAATAGTAATAGTCATTATTCCCAGACTGCCATCGATCTCATGATCTAGCCTTCACTTTCACTTTCAAAAGTTTCAACACTACTGAGTCTAGTGTCTACTCACTACTGGCAACTGAATTGATATTCTCATTTATTTTAAAATAAATTTATAAAACTCACTGTAGTGTAATAATCTTATTATTAATATAAATTATAATGTTAAACGTTTGCATAGGCTTACTTGAATTTTTTGCCTTTACTTTAGCCCAATCAATCCAATTGCCCAGGTACATCAGTCTGCCCCATCAATCTAGAATTCTAGAGTGATGTTCCAGAGGCAATCACCTATAGATCTAGCGGAAAATTCCGAACCCCCAATTTTCATCGGGCGCTATTTTGTAACAGTTTCACAAAGAAACAAACCGAAAGTACTATATTACTCCGCTGCCATTCTACTCAAATATGTATGATTCCTTTTGTATTCCTACGCATAGAATTTGTTTTAATGACGACCTTCCGTGCGATATTTTTTTCACCTTTTTTTTTGTGGCTGCAGCTCCGCCTAGCGTAACGAGCGTATTTATTTTAATTTTATTAAATACACATCACAGATGACCCTGTGAAGACACAAGGGATGCAACTATAATAAAATTAATATACATAATACAAGGGACATAAAAATCACTAATAAGACATAACATTTGCTTTGACATGTTTGTATGAAGAGACACAAACTAGATCTAGAAAAATTTAGATACTATATAGATTGGAGACTTACATTGAAATATAGAGCATCTAGATCTAGGCTCATTTAGCTCAAGTCATTGGTGATTCGGCGAGGTTAAAACACCCAATTGTTATCCAAGCTGGGGCAACCCCAATTTCTCCTCTAGATTGTTTTAATAGCCTTTAACACTTAACTATAGTATTTACAGGGTCCCGCAACTATGTAAAAGCTATTTATAGTTAACCTAGTTATAAAAGCTTTGATTGGTTGGTTTTATTCGTTTCACCCGAATCACCCCGACCTGCAGTTTTCGTCTAGGGTTACTGGGATCACTGACGACGTCATACCTAAACTTAGAAAATTTTAAAACTCATCTTCCAGAAAGAGAAATTCAAAACAATTTGACCTAGATGTATTTAGAAATGGACATGCTTACAACAGATATCAGTAGTTTTGTACAAAACATCCCGTGCGGCGTCAATTCGGCCAATGACGAAACGGCCCCGTCAAAACGACCCCGACAAAACGACCCCGTCAAAAAGGCCAGCGACATATGGACCCCGTCATATAGGCTCCCGACAAATAGGCTCCCGTCATTTAGGCTACCGACAAATAGGCTCCCGTTATATAGGCTCCCGACAAAAGGGCTCCAGTCAATAAGGCTACTGACAAATAGGCTCCCGTCATTTTGGCTCCCGACATATAGTCTCCCGTCATTTAGTTTTTTCCACAAAACGCCCCCCGTCATTACGACTCCCGACAAATAGGCTCCCGCCATTTAATTTCTCCACAAAACGGCCCCCGTCATTACGACTCCCGACAAATAGGCTAGCGTCATTTTGGCTCCCGACAAAAAGGCTCCTGTCAATTTGGCTCCAGACAAAAGGACCACTGACACAGTGGCGTAGCTACCGTAAAGCTAGCGTAAGCAAGGCATGGGGGCCCAAGGCACATAGGGGCCCTTTTCCCTCATAAAAAATTAAAACTTTTACAATGGAATTTTAATATTTATTACATATAAATAATTTTAAAAAAGAAAAAGGTTAAAAGTTCCAAAAAGCCCCCCCCCCCCACCGTTTCGGCAGTGGGATTCAGTGTTTGTTGGTCAAACAGAGCCCAATCGTTATAATAACACTACAGGCTATATCACTTTGTCGTGCAAGACATTGAGAGAATCAGCCTATAAATAAACTTTTTAGCAGTAGTAGGCAAGCATAATAATATAGTATAAATACAAAATCAGGACATATAAAATACAAAATGTTGCCTTCAGAATATTTATATATTAAAAAATATCCATCGTAAGTAGAAGTTGATCTCTTCGTTTAACTCCTCTGTAGCCTAACGCAGAGGCGTAGCGAAGGCGAGGCGGGGGGTGCGGACCGCAACGGGTGACACCATTTAGGGGGGGGGGGGGTGACACCAAAGGCAAAAAATTGTAAAATTTATAGAATGAAATGCCATTTTCCAGATCCATTAGTTAAAGTTAAATAGTCTTCTAAGTACAAATCGAAAATTATATCAATGGGGGGGGGGGGGGGTGTGACACCACGACGTAAACGTAAACTATAAAGAAAACAATGCTACATCCAACTGTATTATAAACAGACTGTAGATAAACATCGTTACTATTAAGTCAGCAGTGATTAAAGCTTAAACACGTACGTGTACCAGTATGTGGCATATATATACATTTTAGGCCTATGTAGGCCGACACACACACACACACACACACACATATATATATATATATATATATATATATATATATATATATATATATATATATATATATATATATATATATATATATATATATATATATATATGCTTTGTTTCCTGGGAGGGGGTGACAATACGAAGTGCCGCACCGGGTGAGACCTGACCTAGCGACGCCACTGGCCTAACGACTGACGAAGGGGCCCACTGATAATTTTTGCATAGGGGCCCAAAAATCCTAGCTACGCCACTGCACTGACAATACCGTTTCTGTAGAGACTGTCTCCCGGCAAAGCGGTCTCATTGAATATGACATCTGCCAGTGGGACACCTACATCAATATTCTTTAGAGTTAGCTTATCCAACACTCTTATGTAATACAACGTATGCATCTCTTGTTCGGCAGGCCTTATTTTTATATTAGTTTATCTATTATAAAATATAGTATGTTTTAATTTAAGGGTCATCTATCTATGACATCCATAATTGAGTCGGTTATAGGCTGTTCCAACTCATTGTGTGGGGAGAAGGGTCCACG